CGAGCCCCTGCAAGCCTCTGAGGTCCTGGGCTCAGGAGACCTGCGGATCCAGATGTGATACATTTCCTGATGCCTGGCTCTGCTGGGCCCTCTAGTTACCTCTGATATTTCCCCTTGTGCCTGCTGCTGCACAGGTGTCCCCATTCATAGCTGAAGACTGAACACCCCCCCTCACGTGAGCCTGAGCCCTACATCCCCTCTGCCTGCCTGCCACTGACTGGACCTGTCCCTGCAGCCACTGACTAGACCAGCCAGGCTCCACAGTGTGGATCTGATGTGAACCCCAGCTCCACAGTCCTCCAGATGTGCTCCTCACTTCAGTCTCCCTCTCAGCTCTGGTTCTCAACGTTTGCTGAACATGGGAACCACGTGGGAAGTTTCTAAGAAATACCAATGGCCAGGTTCTGCCCCAGACCAATCAAAGCAGAATGTCTGGGGCGGGGGCCAGGCATTAGTGTGTTCAGAACATGACTCCAGTGTGTCAGAGCTGAGGGTCCCTGTGCTGAAGGGATCTTCCTCAGCTTTCACGTGCACAGATTGTCAAAGATCTTTTTGAAAATGCAGATTCTGACTCGGCAGGTCTGGAAAAGAGCCCGAGATGCTGCACATCCAGCTAGCTCCAGTGGGATGCATTCTCTGCTGGGCCATGGCCACGCTGAGCAGGAGGGTCTGCGGCAGCCAGACTGAGGGGTGGGGTGTGAAAGTGGGATTCATTGATTTTCTACATCAAAGTAACCGTCCAATGTGAAGCTCCCTTTAAAGCCGGAAAGGGACTTCGGGAAGAGTTAGGATAAAGGCTCCTACAGGAGGAAAGGGGAATTTTCTGCTATTGTGGGAATAGGAGCTCCTGTACCTCCAAAATGTGACAGGATCCACTCTCCCAAGTAAAGTGCCCAGCACATAGTAGGCACTCCATCAATGGTACCTGTGCTCCTTGTGGTATCATTGTTTTTAATCATCATCAGAGCAGGACCCTCACTTCACTTCCCAAACCAAGCAGGCATGGGCTTCCAATGTCCAAGACCTGACTCTCTGACAAGAGTCATCCTGCCTCTTGACAAAGCCCTACACAGCACTTTCATCTGTAGAGGGTGCTGAGGCCAAGGACAGGAAGGCTTGGGTCTAGGGCAGTGGTTCTCAACCTTCCTAATGCCGCGACCCTTTAATACAGTTCCTCATGTTGTGGTGACCCCCAACCATAAAATTATTTTCGTTGCTACTTCATAACTGTAATTTGGCTACTGTTATGAATCATAATGTAAATATCTGATATGCAGGATGTATTTTAATTGTTTTAAATTGAACATAATTAAAGCATAGTGATTAATCACAAAAACAATATGTAATTATATATGTCTTTTCCGATGGTCTTAGGCGACCCCTGTGAAAGGGTCGTTCGACCCCCAAAGGGATCGCCACCCACAGGTTGAGAACCGCTGGTCTAGGGTATTTCATTTCAGACACAGCCCCATGGACCCCGCCTGGTCAAAGGGCGCCAATGCCTTTGTTTCCCTCATTGATGACTCATTGTCCTGAGTGGTGGCTACCCTTCCACAACCCAGTATGGCTATCACTGCATGGCTACTACATGTCAGGACCCGGCTAAAGTGCTCTCATTGGTGTCACTAATTACGTCCCCAAAACAACTCTAGGCAGCAGACAGGGTGCAAAAACAGACTGAGGGGAGCTCATACCTTCTGGTGCTTCTCAAACTTCACTTGCTATGAATTCATTAAAATGCAGATTCCAGCTGTGGCCAGGTGGCTCAGCTGGCTGGAGTGTCATCCTGCACACCAAAAGGTTGCAGGTTTGATTCCAGATCAGGGCACATACCTGGGTTGTGGATTCAATCCCTGACTGGAGGGAATAGGGAGGCAACTGATCAATGTGTCTCTCTCACATCAATGTTTCTCTCTCTCTCTCTCTCTCTCTCTCTCTCTCTCTCTCTAAAAAAAATCAACAAAAATATACCCTTGGGTGAGGATTTTTTTTAAAAAATGCAAGTTTCATTCATCAGGTGAGATAGAGCCTGTGACTCTGCACTTCTCACAAACTCCCAGGTGATGCTGACGAGGCAGGTCCATGAACAATATTTTGAGTAGCAAAACCACCCCTAAGCTATGATGCCTCCTGGTATTTCTGGATATCATCCTTAAGATGCCCCTAAAAGACTTGCCAACCAAACTCATTGACAAACCACAGCCAATGGAAAAACCATAGTCTTTATCCACTTTGAACATCTGAGCAAAGTTCTGTTTAAATTCTTCTGATATTGGAGAGAGAGGATATCAACTGGAGAAGGATATCAACTATTTGGAAAAGCAGTTTTGTCCATCATCAGCTGTAGATGTTGTGGGTTGTTATAAAATTGCTTTTAAATGGAAGTGCTTTCTGGGCCAGGGAAACAACTCTCACTTCTAAAAGTAAAATCAAGAGCTCCAAACCGAGAAATACAGAAAGGATTTCTCCAAACATGGGAGTGAATCATGTAACCATAAGCTTTCTTTCTTTCTCAAATCACTAGAGGAGAGGATGTATATAGAAACAAGGAGAAATGACAAATCTTCCTGCCCAGCGAAAGGCATTAAGAGCAAATCAAGACTGTCTACTTAATCGGTCCTGACTCAGTGGCTGGAAACCAGCTGGCTTGTAAGTGAGACAGAGAAAATCAGAGCAGACAGGGGTGAAGGTAAACGTCCAAGGATGCTTTGGATGTCAGAGACCTGAAGTTCCGGAACTGCACATAGATTCTGGAGCAGCCTGACTTCAAACCATGAATCTTCAGAGAAACAAATGCCCTACTCAAGGATGGTCAAGGTACCAAGGCCAGATCCCAGGGTGACGGATGACCAGAAGGATTAGTGAGAACGGCCCTATATGTAATGCCCATAGCCCAGTGATCCTCAAGCTTTGCTCCACATTAGTATCACCTGGGAAGCTTTAAACACCAAACCATCCCTTCCCCCTCCCTGCCCCCGGCAACCCACCATGCTTAGGCACCCCTCCCCACACATCAATTAAATCACTATCTCTGGGTTTAGGGCCCAGGTACCCTTAATTTTCAAAGTTCCTCAGGTGATTCCACAGGTAACTCCAATGTGCAGCCAAATGTGAGAACCGCCGGCACAATCTTTCAGTGTCCTCACTCACAGCATGAAAGAACCCATCTGGACCAGTGGTTCTTCACCCTGTCCGCACGTTAAATCACCAGAGGGATCCCTGGAACATCCCAGCAGCATCCCTGGAAATTCCGGTTAATTTGTGGGGCCCAGTATTTGTAACAGCTTTCCAGGTAATTCTAAAGTGCATGTGGGTAGATAACTACTGGCCCGGGTGTGTGAGTCTGTGTGTGTGAGTCTGTGTGTGTGTGTGTGTGTGTGTGTGTGTGTGTGTGTGTGGTGTGTTTGCCAAGATTCCTCCTATTGCTTACATTTTAAGCATCAATGACATTAAGGCTAAAAATGCATCTTAGACTTTCTGCAAAGGTGGGTCGCTCATCTTTAACTTGAAATCAGGGATCTCTAACTTTGGAAAGGTCTGTGAATCCCCTTAAATCCAATGCAAAATGTGGGATGAATGTGTATATTCATATATATCTATATTTTCTAAGGAGAATGTCCTTAACTTTAATCAGATTCTCAAAAGATTTAATGCTATTACCTTAAATACATTTATGTGGTTTCTGGTTTAGTAAATTTAAGAAAATTCAAGAATGAATGGAAAATAAATTTGATCCCAGAGGCATATTAACTATAATTTTGAATCTGCAGCAGACCCACTCCACCCAGCTGTGTATATCCTTATTGCAGGGTTAGTTCACACTACATGCAGCCCATCCTTTGAAAAGGGAGATGGATGTGAAGATTGCAGACCCAAGTATCAAAGTGGAAGCTCTGTCGAAGACTGGGGTCAGTATTTGGCTGTCTGTTACAGCTCATAATGAGAAACAACTTCCCCAGCTGTACTTTTAAGGAGACTATCCACTCAGACACTTTGGATTCATGACCCTGCTGGGTTCGGATATTAGGATTTTCTAGTCCCGATTATTGTTACCTTTATGCCCCAGTTTGAATCCCGGCTTTCTTTCTAACAACCCTGTCTTTGGGAAACATACTGAACCGCCCTATTCCTCGTGTGAAATGGGAACAATATAAGTACTTTTAAAACTTCTGTGAAAAATCAGTAAGAAAAACACATAAAATGCTCAGCAAAACACTTGGCACAGAGCAAGATCCAATCATGAGAGGTTATATCACTGTCATTACTGATGTCTTATTATTAATATCTTAGTGACCTGTCCAAGTCGCAAATGTTCCCTGAGCTTCAGTTATTGTTTCATACAACAAGGGAAGTGAGCCCTGCTTGGTTCCCTTCATACAGTTACAGTAATGACCAAGCAGAAGAGCAGAAGGTGTATTGCTATTACATGGCAACTCATCATCCAGCCAGCAATCATCAGAGCACAGGGAAGGCTCACCCTACAACCCAGACAGAATCCCTACCCTTGAAGTGTTGGGGTTTTTGTGTGTGGTTGTTTTGGGGTTTTTATTTTGCTTTGTGTTGTGTTGTGTTTGTTGTTGTTGTTGTTGTGTGTGTGTGTGTGTGTGTGTGTGTGTGTTTGAGATTCTAACAGCTGAGAAGTCTCTACAACGACTGCAGCAATTTATTGTCACATAACATCCCATTCGGTCTAAACCTTCCCCCACATGGGCAGGCGGGTGACCAGGTGACCGTACACCTCTTTCAGGTAAGAGGATTCTGCCAACCACTCTCTAAATCACAGATGCTAAATCAACAGCTCTCCTCTGGGCGGACACGCATTGGCGGCATCTCCACCATGCCAATCCCTCCCCAGGGGACAGGCCCCAGACTCCCACAAGCCCAGCTGCCCATCAAAGTCTGACAGCACAGGCTCCAGGACCTGCCCCACGGGAGCAGCAACATCACCGAGACCTCTCAGCAGCCTGAGCAGAGACCCAAGGCTCTCAGCGCGCACTTACCTGGAGGCGGCTTGGCTGTGCGCACGGGGGTGTAGTGGTTTTTGGAGGACGATCTGACCGGCGTGCTCTCCTTAGGGGAGGTATCGATGGCCGAGATCGTTTCTCTTTCACAGTGTGCTATGGGGATTGGTCCCTGTTGTCTCAAGATGTCAGCCAGAGCCCTAAATGGGAGGAGAAAACACAGTGAGGTTCCCTGGGCAAATGTGCCGGCCACAAAGGCCTCCGATGCCTGCTCAGAGGCGGGAGGGGACGAGCCTGGGCACTCAGTTCACAGCCACCGCTTGCTCTGGGGCTGGGCTCAGTGGGAATGCAGGCTAGAGCTTGCCATGCTGGGCAACCAGAATGCAGTGATCATGGTTTCTTTCTTTAATTCACTTCAATCAAGGAACTCTGAGCCCTTACAAAATACTGGCTTCCCCAAACCCCCGCTTCCCGGCAGATATCTAGGGCCACTGGCCAGCAGCCGTCACTGCAGCAGGACTGACACCGTGGGCCTCACGTTCAGCAGCAGGTTGCTAATATCAGAGCGAGCACTTCCCCATTGAAAAACACGCACCCAGTGCAAGCTCTATGCTGGTGACCCAAATAAGTACCACACACACCTCCTGCCATCAAAGAAATGTATGATTTAGCTGCAATGACAGGATGTACAGATAAAAAGGTATCAGAGCACATGGGTGGTACAGAAGGAACACAACTGGAGCCTGGAGGAGAGAGCAATTACAGATGCAGGGAGGGAAATGCGCAGGCAGGAGAGGCGCAGGGAGCAGCTGCTGGTGCTGGAGAGGCCTCCCCCTCTGTAAGAGGCCAACGAGCCAAGAGAAGCTTCCCTCACAGACTCACTCAACCCCGAGCCTCGACATCCAAACCCACATTCACTGAGCACTCAGCCTGCATCTGGCCCTGCAGAGACAGAGGCAAACAGGACACAGCCCCTGCCTTTTGAGGGCTCACAATTCAGGGGAAATCACTCCACAGCCTGGTTTCAAACAGGACTCACTCTGTGGGTGTGACACATGAGATAGGCAGTGTGGATTGAAAACAGAGACACACAGGGATACTCTGAAAAGACAAAGATGAGTGTGGACAGCATCAAGGGTCCACCATCTGGATACTGTCCCCCTAGGGCCAGGTTCCCAGGTCTGAGTGAACCCGTCTTGCATGAGCTGGGCAAGAACTCTTCCATCTACCTGGGGTGTCCCTGAGATGTGAGGCAAGGCGACACAGCCAGCCCAGCCCAGCCCAGCCCCAGGCTCAAGGCAGCTCCCACACTGTCCCCTTGGGAAGTGACAACCCTGGCAGTTTAAAAGCATGTCTGAAAGTGGTTTGCTTCCTTCCATTCTGCTGCCTCTGACACCCTGACCCTTCCCGGGAGAAGAGCATCAAACCAGCAATCTTATCATTCGGTGGCATTTACACAGCAATTTCCAATTTTCCAACTGCTTTCCCTTCACTGCTTTCTTTCCTTCAGTGGGAAAGGAAGGAGCAGACACATGCCACCCCTCAAACACACTCACTGCAGGGGACTCAGCAGTGAGGGAGGACACACAAGCTCACTAGCTTGGTAAAGGAGGTTCAGGCAGACCTGTGGTCAGAGACCTGAGATTCAGGGCCTGGGAATAAGAAAAAAATTGCCTGGATGGTTCAAGAGATTTGGATTCTAATCCTAGTCTCTGCCACTGATGAGCTGTGAGCCTTTGGGCAGTTTTGTTCATCTCTAACATTACAATGTATAGAGAACAAACAGACTGACAGCCATCAGAGGGAATGGGGGTTGCGGGGCAGGGTGGAAAAGGTGAAGGGATTAGGCAAAAAAAAAAAAAAACACCACAAAAAAAACCTCATAGGCACAGACAAGAGCATGGTGATGACCTAAGGCAGTGATCGGCAAACTCATTAGTCAACAGAGCCAAATATCAACAGTACAATGATTGAAATTTCTTTTGAGAGACAAATTTTTTAAACTTAAACTATATAGGTAGGTACATTGTTATTAACTTAATTAGGGTACTCCTAAGGCTTAGGAAGAGCCACACTCAAGGGGCCAAAGAGCCGCATGTGGCTCTCGAGCCGCAGTTTGCCAACCATGGACATAAGGGAAGGGAGATCAGGGATGTAGTAGAGGGTGTGGAAATATAAGGGAGATAAGTAGTGATGGAAAGAGACTGGACTTGGGGTGGTGAACACACAATACAATATACAGATGATGTATTATAGAATTGTATACCTCAAATCTATATAAGTTTATTAACCAATGTCAACTCAATAATAAATAAATAAAATTTAAAAGTAATCATTTCCCCCTATTAGCAAAACAAGGGTTGACATGAGCAGGATCTCTAACATGCCTTCTAATTTCAAAATGTGATAAATATTTTATTTTTTTAAACCACACTTGTATGCAAGTTACCGGATTCCTTCATCCTCCTGTTAATCAACAACACCTTCCCACCACCTTTACATGGTGAGAAAATAGTGAGCTACAAGTTAGAGCAGAAATATAGACCAATGGAATAGAATTGAGAGCCCAAATGACTTTCAACAAGGGTCCCAAGAAAACTCAATGGGGAAAGAACAGTTTCTTTAAGAAATGGTGCTTGGAAAACTAGATATCTGCAGGCAAAAGAATAACTTGGACTCTTAATTAACACCATATATAAAAACTAACTCATAACAGATCATAGATCTAAATATTAGAGCGAAAACTGTAAACTCTTAGAAATTATGGAAATAAATCTATGGGCCATACATTTGGCAGTGATTTCTTAGATATGACACTAACAGCACAAGCAGCAGCAGAAAAATAAAAGATACATTGGACTTCATCAAAATTAAAAACTTTTCTAGCCCTGACTGGTGTGGTTCAGGGCTTAGAGCGTCAGCCCAAGCACCAAAAGGGTCACAGGTTCCATTCCCGGTCAAGGGCATGTACCTGGGTTTCAGGTTCAATCCCAGGCCCCAGTTGGGACACGTGCAGGAGGCAGCCAATTGATGTGTCTCTCTCATCTCTCCCCCCCCCCTTCCTTTTCAGTCTCTCTAAAAATCAATGGGAAAAAAATATGCTCAGGTGAAGAGTAACAAAAAAATCAAAAAATAAAAACTTTTCAGAAGATATTTTCAATAAAATGAAAGATAACCCACAGAATGGGAAAGCTATCCGTCAATCATATTTCTGATAAGAGACATATCCAGGCTACATAAAGAATCCTTCAAATTCAGCAATATAAAACCAACAACCCAGTTTAAAAATGGACAAAGGATATAAAGAGACATTTCTCTAAAGAAGGTAAACGTGGAGAGCAGCTCAACATCGTTGGTCATCAGGAAAATGGAAATGGGAACCACAATGAGTTAGAGCCTTCTTAAGCTGCTGGTAGGAATGTGAAATGGTGCAGGCCCTTTGGTAAAGAGTTTAGTAATTTCTCAAAATCTCTTATATAAAAGGCCTGTGGCCGTCACACCGTAACACCATCACGACCAAACAAGCAGCGGCCCTCATGGCAGGTGGGGCGGGGCACAAGCTGAAAACAGCGATGGGCAGGGTGGCCAGCTAAGGCAAGTGGAAGTGAGCTACTCACCTACGATTTTGTGCACGCTGGGCCTCTAGTGTTAAGCATAGTTACCATATGGCCCAGCCATATGGTATATACTCCTAGGTATATACTCAAGAGAAATGAAAACAGATGTCCACATAAAAGTTGTGTACGAAGGTTTATACAGCATTATTAATAACTAGAGGCCTGGTGCATGAAATTCATGCATGGGGGAGGAGGGTACCTCAGCCCAGCCTGCATCCTCTCTAATCCAGGACTCCTCAGGGGATGTCTGACTGCCTCTCACAATCTGGAACTGCTGGCTCCTAACTGCTTGCCTGCCTGCTCCTAACCCCTCTGCTTGCCTGCCTGATAGCCCCTAACCATCTCTGCCTGCCTGATTGTCCCTAAACACCTCTGCCTACTGGCCTGATCACCCCTAACTGCTCCTCTGCTGGCCTGATCACCCCTAATCTATTCTGCCTCACCCAGCACCCAGGACCAGGGCTTCCCTCCCTATGGCCGTCCACAGATATCCAGGTCCTGGCTGGTTTTGCCCAGGCCGGCTGCAGCCACAGGGGACTGTGGGCAGGCGGCTTTCCCTGGGCCACAGCTGCATGTGCCCAGGACCACAGGGCGGGCAGCTTGTCCCTCTCCCAGGCCACAGCCTGGCTGGTCCCTATTCCTCTCTCACAAGCTCATTTGTGCCTAGTTGGTCACCATTCCTCTCTTGTGAGCTCATTTGTGCCTGGCTGGTCCCCATTCCTCTCTCCCCAGTGTTGAGTGTCTGAGCCATTATGGCATGACAGCATGAGGGTGTGATGACCATTTGCATATTACCTCTTTATTATATAGGATAGCCAAACAGTGAAAACAACTTAAGTGCACCTCAACTGCTGAGTGGATAAACGAAACATGGTGTTTCACACAATGGATTATTATTCAGCCTTAAAAAGCAATGCAGAACTGACACATGCTACAACATGAATAAACTCTGAAAGCATCGTGCTAAGTGAAAGAAAATAGTCACAGAAGACCACATGTTGAATGACTCCACTTACATAAAATGTCCAGATCAGGCAGGTCTACAGAGGTAGAAAGTCCATTTGTGGTGACCAGGGGCTGGGGGAGGGGATGGAGAGTGACTGTTAATAGGTATAAGGTTTCTTTTGAGGAAAGTGAAATGTTCTAAAATTGGATAGGAATGGTAGATAGCTGGACAACTCTAAATGTACCCAAATCACTGAATGGTACACTTTAAAATTTAAGGATAAATTATACCATAAGTGAATTGTATCTCAGTAAAGCTGCTATTACCAAAGAAAGGTTTACATTATTTTTCTTTCTTTCTTTGCCTTACCTCCCAAATTCTTAAGGATTCCTACTGTCTGGTGCCCATGAAGGAGCAAGGATTCTCATGGTTAAGTCCACTGCTTTTGGTAAGCCAAGCCTGAATCCACATCACTCGTTTTCCCTGGTGATTGGCAAGATCCAAAGACCGTTTTGTTGTCACAATTGGGGAGGGAAGTGCTACTGGCAGCTGGTGGGGAGAGGCCAGGAGTGCTGTTAATCATCCTTCAACACACAGAACACCCAGAACAAAGAATTGTATGGCCCACAGTGTCATA